TAAATAACAATTAGTAAAGAGCATTAGAAAAGCTACTATACTAATAGAAGTGTTTCTACTCAGCAGAAGGTGAATGAATGCATTATATGATAGTTCTCAAGAATTTAGGACAGTGTGCATATGAAGCAAGTGCAAAAAAAGGAATATCTGAGCTTTTTGCAAATAAGTGAAGTTTCTGCTTGGCTATACCTTAATGAACGAGCTAAGTCATATTGTTTTTACCTACACAACATGAATGGCCCTTCAATCAAAAAATCCAGTATTGAGGACTAAACGGCAGACAGTATACGGCTGCAAATGTCAAACACAATATTTAGAAAAACATTGACAAAACAGATTTTTGTATTTGTTTATTTTTTAGAAAAAATATACTCTCATAGTAATTGGTACTGACCATGGAAACAACATATAAAATTAATGATTGATTTTTTTTTTTTTTCTTGAAGCGAAAATTGCTTTTATACCACAACTTCATTATCTAGAAATCAGCATGATGAAATCTTAGCACAGAGCACACAAATGGAGCAGCACAAGTTAAAAATAAATGCATTCACTCTTATTTCATTTGGAAAAGTTGCTATGTATAACAGGCAGAATGAAAGAAGAGGAACAAGCAGATCTGATCTGCTGTGACAGAACCTAACAGGCTTAGCTGCCTCCTGTACATTGCTGACCGCACTGAATAAGCACCACCCAGACTGCTGTTTGAAAGCTTTTAAAAATCCTTTTAAATCTTTACAACTTTAATACAAAGGGAGAAGGCTATGCAGCTTGTAGGAATTAACACTTAAAAATGTCTTTTACCCCTACATGGAACACTTGTCACCTTGTCTTCAGCAGCTAGTTTGTAGAATCTGTTAGTGTGTTCCAGCAGATTGTCTGGCTTGAGACCTTATTTATAAATGCATTCATATGTACAATTCCCCAGCCTTTCATCTGGAGATGACCTTTGAGTTTCTGGAGATTGTCTCAGAAATTATTGCTTCAGACTTCTCCTCAGTGTCATGAAGATGTACCCAGCTGCTCCCTTCATGCTTTCCTCAACAGAAAACCTTGTGGAGCTTCTCTTATCCAGTGGCAAATCCAACCCAGGCTAGCAGCTTTTCGATTTCCTGTGAAACTGAGCCTGTGGTGTTGAGCCAAAGCAGCGTGCTCTGGGACAGCCCGTGTGGCAGGCCAGCCTGTAGTCCTCATGTACCACAGTGTTTTCTGGGTGGGTCTATGACCAGCTTGTTACCTTAGCCAAAAGAGAAGCTGAACAGCACTGGGGCAGAGCAAAACGATGTGTCAAGCAGTATTAAGTTCTCATTCTGGCATGTCTGCATTGCTGATTTGTGAAAAGCCAAAGAATTTGTCTGGTAAGTATGAATTATTGGAGTCAAGGAGTCAAGTTCTTCACTTTGATTTTCACTAGATCTACATGGCTCATCCACAGAGCTTAACTGTTAATGACTGTTCTCAGTAACTGATATATACTTCTCCAAATTATTCCTGCGGTTGTCTTTAAAGGGGCTGATTAAAGCGTGCTAAGCTAGATGGTCTGCACTAATACCTTTTGATGGCTGTGTGGACACCAAGATGTAGGTAGGAATTAATTGCTGAGGGACTGCACCTGCACACAAGGATACCCTGCACCTACAAATACATTCCTCAAGGCTTGCATAGCTCTGTGTGTTAAGAGACTTGGCAGATTCAACATCTTCACAAGGAAATTCTAAACAAAAATTATACTCCAGTTATTTCTACTATGAGCATATTGCAAGTTACTTTTCCATTCTTTTTAAAGAACTATGGTGAACTTGGAACTAAATAAATAACAAAAAAACCACAAAACACCAGGTGGGTAAAGATCTGTTAGAATGAAGTTGCAATTGCTGTAAACTACTGTCACACTTCAAATATTTCTAGTTCCCGCCTTCTTATTTTATTTCTTTCGATACATAATGGACTTATTCAGTAAGTGAAACAGACTGTTTTGGCAACCCATTGTGTACTTTGTTTTCGCTAACTTTTTGTCTGCTTTTACATCTTGACACTTTACCAAGGAGAGGTATGGGGAAAACCTTCTTTCAGACTACTTTTCATTTCACTTGTTGCAAATTATTTGACAGGCTTTGTTTGTCTGAAGTGCATCTCCAAGTTCATTGTAATGGGTACCAGAGTCCTTGACAGCGTTGGTAGGTAAAACATAGGGTGTCTATGGGATATTTAGATATTCAACAATAGTTTCTGAAATTCCAGATGTAAATTTGGCCACACAGCATTCCTCTTCTTCCTATAACATTTTACAGTTTTACATGCATTCTCCTTTTTTCCTCACAAGGCAATATAAAACTACTTCCCCAATCTTTTAAACATCAAAGATGCACACTGGGAATAACACAGGAAAAGGTTTTATTTAAAATAGACTCAGCAACACTGAGGTAACTAATGTTTTATTATGTTGCCTGTTGAACTAAACCTAGAGCAAATCATGCAGGAAGATGAATATGTTTTAAAGGCCTTTGAGAACAATGATTATTCTTCAAATGTATCCTAGCTTCAAAAACATGCCTAAAAAATTAATTTCTTTATTTACACAGAAAATACATAAAGTGTTCATTATCTTTTAGAAAAGTTTCTTTGCTTGCTTTATATGTGAGCCAAAAAATTTATCTGTGTATTTGCACCTGCCTAAATACTTCATAAACTCTCCTGCTATAATTTTGATGGTTTCCAAGCTCAGGTTGATGCTTATAGTCAGTTTCACCGATATTCAAGAGCATGCATTTATATGTGGCTTATATGTCACAGCTGTCTCCATGTGTAGGAGATGAAGCAAGTCTCTATCCATACATTAGATATTGTGTCCATCACTTAAATTTCAGCATGCCATTGCGATGGATTATCTTAGCACAAAGATGCAAATAATATCCTTTCAAGATGTTTCATGGCTGAGCTCCAATCACACAAAGCAACATATCCTTTTTGTTACTGCTATCATATTTTCTTTTTCAGTATCCATTATGAACTTTTTCCATAAGTCAACATATTTCTTCTCTCCCTGAACAATACAAAATAGTAAGAGAACAATAGTTTCCGAGGTTAAAAGAATACTAGAGGTGGCTACGTGTTTTAGAGCTTTGTTGGATATATGTAGAATGTGTGCTTTTTGTTTAAATGTTCTTAGTTTGAAAGAGTGAGATGGATTGCATTTTCTTCATTACTATCTTTTTGGTGCATCTTCACATAGGAATGTGTTAGTCTCTTGGGAAGTTGGCAGTGTAAGTGACTGAAAAACTAGCTAATAAATCTGGGATTAATAGGGCTGTAGACAGCAAAGTACACAGGCGTAGGAAGGATCACCAGCCACTGAATGCTGCACATCTAGAAACTGTCAATAGAGAGTATGAAAAATGCAAAGGACAAAGCAAAACTAACAGAAGTTCCGGCTCGTTTTTTTCTGCTTGCTGAAGCAATCTCTCACATCAGTGTATCCTGGTTCTCTAGGGAAGAGTTGTTCTTAGGGGCTTGATCTTGCTTCTATTCACAGCCAAAGAAAGTCTCCTTTTAACCTAAAGTGGGTAGGATCAAATCATTAATGATTGTCTCTCCAGAAGTAAAACCAGCAAAAGTAACAATGCATCTTGATACACCATACTCTGTATACAAAGTAGCTCTCTATTCTTGTGTTAAAATTTGTTCAGATTTAGAGGTATTTAGAGATGAGTATTAGATCTTTAAAGCTGATTTTTCCAGTTCTTTTAATTAGTGGATCAAATGACAAATACAGCTACTGTACACTTGTAGTATTGAGGACAAATCCTATCTGAGGGGGAAAAAATGTGAAGAAATTTTCTGTGCGCAGAATTAAATCCCTTGAACTCGATTGTGGCCTAGAATGTAAGTAAACTAGCATGGTGCTCTTGAATTCAGTGGAGCTACACTGGTGGCTGTGATTGATAATAATTGAATAACGCAGTGAAATTCCTTGTTTATTAACATGAGGATAAAACAAGAAAGGGAGAAAAGCTGCTGCATTTCTACCAAAACTAATCAAAGAAATGAGAACTGCTAAAGATTTGCATCTTTGATGTACTCTTCTTTTACCCAAAACTGCCATAAATAGCAACAAACAAACCTATGAACCTCAGAAGACCATGGGTACACAGAATTCTTTCTGATCGGAAAGGCAATGTGAAGGGAGGTACTCATGATGTAAGGCAAGCATAGCACCTTGTTTACTATTGCATAAATAATCCTGGTGATTGTAGACTGAATGAAGTGTGTGGTTAAGTGGCGATGCTAGGGTTGGACAGAAAATCTTGACCTGTAACATTGTCTGAAGTAATGCTGTTATGATTTGCTCTTAACCAGAGCTGAGGTTCACTGATGGACTTTGTATTGCCATCTAGAAGGTTTCCAGAGTAAACAGTGTATGAGGCAGAGTCAGAGCGTTACTGTCTTACTCCAGCGGTGGTGAAAAGAGATTATCATAACAGAGGTGGTTATGCTTCTTTGCACCCTAGGGATTCAAATTCTGTGGCAGGATTAAGATTTGTTTATGTCAGTCTAATTTGGCGCTTGAGTTTTGCTTTCTCACAGCCATACTCATCACTAAGACTTTGTATAACAAGCAGTAAATGTGCTGATCATGTTCGTGCTGAAAAGTATGGCATACATCTCCACAAACACACGCTTGTACAAAAAGACCTACCTTTGATTTAGTGGGATCTGAAGCTTACTGCTCTGGCCTCATTGGTTTTCTGCAGTGGTTCTTTATTTAGGTTTTTTTTTTTTTTTTTTTTACCTGAATGATAAGAGTTCTCACAACGTGAATGTTGGATATGCAAAAAGTGCAACTTCTAATATTTTCCAACGTTAGCATAAAAAGTTTAGACTCTATGGAGAAAGTGCCAATGCCAGACCTTGCTATAGTTTTCTTTTTAAACTTAAACTCTTTCAGTGAGCATCAAGTATGGACCCCTGTGTGAGGAGGGAGATGTATTACTAAGCCTTGGGTCTCAGGCAGCCTGCTCCTTAGCTTTCCAGAATAGGAAAGTCACATTTACACTAAGTACTGAATTTACAGAGGCTTTTTATTTCCAATATTGCACTAATACTGAATTTATTTATTTATTTAGAATGCATGCTCCCTCATTTCACTTTCACCTTCTGCAGTGAAGTCATGCTTCTTGTGGCTGTGACCCCAGAATCAGTTGCTAGAGAAATAAATGTGGTGGCACAGATTAAATCACAGATTTCAGCACAGAATTGAGTGCATGGACAAAGGAGAAGATAAGTGCCTTTCTAAAATAGATACATTTATTAGAAAAATCCATTTGTTTTTGTCAGCTCTGTTTGAACAGATTGTTCCAGAATCAAAATCTCCACTTAATAGCAATATATATATATATATTTAAATTTTGCAGTGATCTTGTGCTCCTGGGTCTTGCCTAGTTTCCACTTAGATAAGCTGAGAGGTTTACGCTACTTTCAATGGACTTTGTTTAAAACCTCTGTTAGAAACTCCTCGTGTCTGGCATTGCTAAACTGAGAAGGCAGTATTGAAAATAGGAGTTTGTCATGTAACTCGCTTTCAGAGAACCCAGATCCAGAGTGTGCTGGACTCTGCTTATCTATTCTCTCAGCCTCTCTTAAATGCAAAGGGAGATAATCTTTTCCTAGAAGCACTTAGAACAAGATTTTAAACCATGAGTGCTGAGGTATCAGAGTTCCTTTTTACCCAAATATCTGGAAATATGGCCTTCCTTGTGATGTTCCTACACAATTTTAGCACAAATGTAACAATTATATCTGCAAATGAGAAAAATATATTCTGCAATAAGACTTGCCTGGACTGCAAATTAAAATGTTTAAAGAACATCATTCTTTAGTTTTAGGCTCACCTGTAGTGGAATGTGATTTAGTAGATTCCTTGTCTACTTCTTGCTCAGCATTTGCTGTCTAAACATAGGATGTGCTGCTCAGGTCAGTGTGCTTGCTTTCACTGTTAGGGAGAAGATGGCAGCTCTGAAGGGAGCAGGATGAAGCCAAATACTGAACTGCGTGCTGGAGGCTGCTGTTGACTACAGATGGAGTTGAAGTGATCAGCTGAGATCCACTTCTAGATGGGTAAAGCCAGGTGAGATGCATACTACCTCTAGCAAACGAGGAATGTGTTTGGAAGCCTTTCTCTCTGATCTTCAGGAAAATACAGGCTAAGAAGCTGCAGTCCAGCTGTCAGACAGAAGGTTGCATTCTCACTGAAAGTGGGTTTGATACTTAAAGGGAAGATGGATAATTAAGACTTCATCTTCCAAAATATTAAATATTGATTTGTAGACATTTAGAAGCAGGCTTAATGCTCTCCTGAGAACTGGCAGCAACTGTAAAAGATTATAAAAGATTTTAGTTCTCCGTGTAGAATTTAGCATTTATTTTTTGTTTAAAATTTATGAAACGCGGGTAAAATAAATCAGGACGTAATGTCTGGTCCTCTCTGTGCCTACAAGCCCTGCTGCATGTGACGTGGATGTATGGTGTTTTTTTTTTCTTTTCAGTTTTGTATTGGCTTTTGGTTTATTGAAGTGTCAGGGGGTTTATAAGCTCTTCAACTCCAATTTTTATTGTTTTATCCAACTACTGTCACTTCTTATCAGTATTAAAGGCAGAAATCAAAGCACAGGACCCATGGGAAGTGACGTTTCAAATGTACACCATTGCTTTTCTTTGTCATTGTTCTGAACTATGCACCCTCTGCTCCTGACAGCATACAAGATAAGGAGTTGAGTTCACACTTTGTTAATTCATTTGTGAATTAAACAAAGGTTGTTTTTTTTGTTTTTTTTTTAAGCTAGAATGTTGGGTTTTTTTTTTTTTTTCCCCCACCTCCCTACTTCTTTTTTTATGATTAGGGGCAGTTGATGTAACACAAGAGGCCCTATACAGGACATCTTTGCCTTAGGCAACCACTTCATCTTCAGCCTTCCACTAATTTTCAGTTGGGAACGTACATGCTTGCATCTATTGAAGGAGGCAAAAATAAAGTATTCTAGCGTAGCTGTTTCTTACAGGTGACTTTCCCTGAGAAAAAATGACCCAGCTTTATTAATTGGGTTAGAAAACCTGGCTCTAAGCATGGAGTGTGTTGCTCTGAGTCAAGACAAGCAGGTACTGAGCTGCTGTGCATGGGACACAGCCGTGTGGAGAGTTTTATCTGCGAGGTTACTTGGATAGCTGTGCCTCTGCAGGAAGGAAGTAAGTTGAAGAGGAGTTGTTAAGAACTTTTTCTGCTTTTACCTTTTCTTTTCAGCTGTCTGTGTGATGGAAACAAAAATGAATTTTACCAGTTCATTGTATTTGGTTTAACAAGTATACTGAATTTAAGAGACGACATTTTCTGCGTTTTCTTCACAGTAGTTTCAAGTTGATCAAATCCATTTCAGATTGTTCCCTAGCTTATGCAGACTCACTATAAATAAGTGTAAACAAAATGTGTGTTCATTTTGCAACTGGCTCCATTTATTAGGTTTTAAAGGTGCAATTCCACTATGCCATCAAGTGCGGTGAAGGGGGGAAAAAAAGGAAGAGCAGTGAGAGAAAATCTATTTGAGAGTAAATAGTCTCTTTGCATATGTGTTTATATAGGTATATGGGTTTACGTGGGTAATGGCAATGGCACTGATAGAGCAGACCTGTTTTAGCATTGCAATGACAAATCAGATGACACACTTCAAAAAAAAAAAAAAAAAAGTTTGTTGGAGGCATGATTATTTCCTATCTACAGCAAATGGGAAATTGACTGAGATGAGAGAAAAAAGCAAGTTAAGGTCCAAATTGAAACACTAAGTTATATACGTGTGGCAAGTAAGAAGTAATTAAAAAAAAAAAAGACCTCACTAATTTTAAAGGGAGAAAGGAGAGTTAATACAATTAAACTCAATGTTTAAATCTTACTTAAAACTCTGCAATTGTCAGAAGCAGATATTTCATTACAAAGATGCTGCAGTGGCACAATCAGGGGGAAAGGCATTAAGGCAAGGCAGGCAAATCTATACATTCACACATTTCATATTTATTTTTAAATAAGCATACAGGATATTTTTAAATCCTTGGAATTAAATTAAATTCTTTACCTTCTTTGACTATTTCAGCTGGGGTATTGAGCCAAGAGGGAAATATACTTCATGTTATTTTCATTTTGACATTTTTATTGTCAAATGTTGTGCGCTGAGTTGAATTTTGTTGTGCTCAAGTTTAGATATTTGAATCTTGAAGTCTTTTTATTCATCCTGTCATCTGTCATTGATGTAACTGACTTCTGTGACAGCACTGACAGAATTTATCCAAGAGTTTGCTTGATGATACTTTATAAAATCAAATATAAATAAAAGGGCCCATCATCTGGGGGATATGGAATTGGAATCCAGTGGGTGTTGATGGTTCACAGTTTTACAAAGAGCTATTCAGGAACTCACCCAACCACTTCCTACAGATTTATCTCTTTTTGTGTATGACCATGTTCATATTCCCTTCAGGTCGAGGTGCAAAATGTCATGTTTTTTCTTTTACTTTTCTTGTTCTTTCTTTCCAAAGACCTGCCACATGATCAAATATGTACCTGCATTTTTTTCCATGACATTTCAGAAATACTAAATATTGTATTCTGGTGATAATGCTTTCCCAAGAAGGAAGGAGATGGCCCATTTAATAATGTATACTTCATTTACAGCATGGAGTGTTAGCCAACTACTCGTGATGATACCTCTTCCAGACATAATACTGTTATATGCAGTGTTCTGACTACATTTTTAAATAGAACAACAACTGAATGATACATTCAAAATAATTCATGGAGAAGAAATAGAAGTATTTCAGCATGGGAGAATATTTATGCATTATTTAACAGCAATAATGTTTGAATTCATACATTATGCAAATGCCGTTGTAATCAGGAAAATGAAAGAACTTGGACTGCTGCAACATCTTTAAATCTACCATTAGGTACTTATTTGTGCATATCATTTAATACTGCACAGCGTTACAGTATGTCACTTGAAGAGAGTTACCAGAGACCAACAGGTTATAGAAAAGAAAGCTGATGAATTCCAGATTGCTTCTTTGATGCTAACGCCTATAAGTTTATCAGCAAACAAAAGTGAAGGTTTTAATGGTAATTTACGTAAAACTCCTCTTGTGGATACAAGTTACTGGGGTTTTACTTGCAGTTCACATTTTGCATTGTGATCCTTGCCTGTGCTCACCCACACACAACAGACCAGCAAACAGTGTGGGCTGACACAGAAAGAAAATTCTATTTATTTTCTTAATGTATCAGCAGCTCAGTCCCTAACTATCAAAACCAGCATGCCTGCTCATCTAATGCCAAATAGCTTTGGCTTAGTCTCCTATTGTCTTCAAGATAAAGTATAAAAATATCAAATAGCCTCTATTTGATGAAAGGCTTTTATAGACCTTCCTTCTTACCACTTAAAAGAATTTTATCTTTGCTTAATTAAATATAGAAAACTCATGCGTACATGTGTGTACTTGACTGCAGCATCCTTGAGTCGCTTTTCTTGTATGTAATACTTCGTGATTTTGCAGTTTGAGTGCGCTTACGTGTCTTCCATGGGAAGAGGAGCAATGCTTTGCCATGAACACTGCCCACCAAATTGGAAGTAAGTGTTGCATTGAATTTTATTTCTCCTACCAAACTTTATCCATCTTTAGTGTTTTGAGAGGGCAGATGAATGAAGAAGGAGCTTCATAACCAGCCATTGTCTCTGCCAGGTGTCTTCTTGCCTTTTAGATCAACATTTGGGAAAATGGTACTACAAGCAGTCCCAAAGATTCATAGTGATGGAAGGTTTTTCCCCTGTAGTCCATGAGTGAACAAAATTTCTTCCAAAACTGTGTTACAAAACACTTAATTCTTATTAGTATTTCTGTTAATGATAACACTGAGAGCAAATAGAATTGAAGAACATCTGTACAGAAGTGAACAAACCATTTTTAAATGAAAGTGGACCATCGCTTGTCATGGAGTTATTTACAGAAATGGTTAGTGGAGATAAATTTATATTCTGATTTCTATGTTTTATGGCAAGCAAGAAAATTTGCATGCATATGCCATCAATCCAGCATGTCTCATAAACACTATATTCATGTAATACCTCAGAAAATACTGAACAGATCTTCCTGCAAGTGAGTAGCATTTGGACTCAGTTTGGGTACTCACCAATTTGAATCCAGTCCACAGCATGGAATTTTTACTGTGCTAGAGTCTTCCAGAAATTACTACTTTTTATGGCAGGCTGGATGCAATACAGTTTGCTCCTCCATCACAAAGACTGTGCCAGGGCTTCTGCTGTAGAATCTCTTACTAACAAGAAAACATAGTTCAATCAATATATTGTGCTCCTGGCTAAGAATTGGCATACAGAAATTCATCCTGGAAATTTTTACTAGTGGCAAACAATAGTAACTTCTCAGAGTGCAAAATAATGCATGAACTCCCTTTTGCTGAGCGTTAACTAATTTTTATGGCATTGTAGTAATCAGTTGTTGTAAAGCGGGCTTGGAAAAGAGAGGGACAGTAGGATACAGCGGGCACCAATGGTGCAGTAACAACATGTACTCACTCCAGTGCCAACTGGAGATCACCAGCTGATGATAAGGGCAGCCCCAAGAAATGGGAGTGTCCTCATTTCAGCTAGAAAAGAGCTGATTTTTCATTTGGAGTATCTGGTATGATTTGCTTGAAGGGAAAAACAGTGTCAATAATATGCTGATCTTTCAGTGTGCTGAGAAGTGCTATAAAGGGCCAAGAATGTTGCAGTTACTGAGCTTCTATTGTCATGACAGTGAGGTGCTGAGAGGGGACAGAACCAGGGCAACTGACCTGAGCAGGCCAAAAGGGTATTCCAGTAAGATATGGCATCATGGAAAGCAAACAAAAAAAAAAGTGCACACACACAAACATGCAAGTTCTAACCAGAGGAAGGCTGTGCTTTGCTAAGAAAACACACCCTCTTCCTGCAAAGTTATGAGCTATTAAGCTGGGAATACTACATTTCTGTAAGTTTAGAAGAGGGTCTACTAAATGATGACCACAAATTGTACAAAGCCAGAAAAGACTGTGTAACTTGTTTGAGATATTGTTTAGCAGTTGAATAGAATGCCTGCATGTGGAAAAGGATCTCCAGGTTGTCTGCTTTCCGCTTTCCTTAGGTCACCTTTTTTTCTTTCTTTTTTTTTTTTTTTTGAACTATCATTTTTCTTGCTCCCAATAGTTTCTGATTGTACTCAGGACATACTCCAAAATCCACTAAAGTCAACAGAAAAATTACCTGGTAGCCCCCAAACACAATTTCTGTGATTCATCCTCAAAATCATCAGTATCCATCCCCAGTGTGCCAGAATAATTGTGTAAAATTAGCTCTGATATGAAAATTGGCACTGACTTCAAAAGATACCCCAGTGAAACATGGTAATTTTTGTTTAAAGCATGATCTTAATGCATGTTAAGTTTCAAGCTGATAGCTTACATATTCTTATAGTGAATAAATAAGTGTATTTATGTATTCCATAATGTAATGGTAATGTATCTCCCATATGACCATCTGACATTGTTTCTTCTAGGAAGATATAATGAATCTTCTCTGCATCACAAGAAAAAGGCTACTCAATCTTAAAACAACATTTTAATCTCAGTCAAAAAGGGGCATCTTCAACATAAGGCTGTCTGCAGTCATGGTATGGCTTTCCTAACTTTGCTATTTCCTTTGGGCTTTATTTAGAAACACTTTAGCAACACTTCCTAAAACATGCAGATGTTGAGGCTTCTACTAACAGCATTATTAAGATAGCATCTTAATTCTTTTTTCTTTGGGGGCAATATGTTTCTCTTCCAGTTTATTATGGCAAACGCTGTAATTTCCACTTCTTTCAGTGTCTGAAGCTTTCTGCTTTAATAAATGCACATATTAGATGCTATTCTTTCTCAGCTTGATAGGTGTATAGTGTCAGAAAAAAGAAGGTCACAGTGATGTTAAATTTGCTGCTGAGTAAAGGATCAGAGTGTAAATGAAATCTTGAAAGATGGGAAATGAGAATGTGCAAGTGTAAATAATGTATTAATTATTGACAGCTAAGGGACCAAAGACTCCTATTTAGTAATGACATCTTCATTGTCACGCTGCCTGACAATATCTCAGGTATTTTTGCTTTAATAAAAGGTTTTCCCCCCAAGACAGTAAGTATTTCAATTTTCCTGTGTAGCTTTATTGATATTTTTTGTTTTCTTTGGCTTTTCTGTATCTTACTGTATGCTAAGTCCTTGATTCAAAAGGGAACTGGGGGGGTAGTGAATTCCCACCGGCAAGATATTTTAGTACAATACAAAATATTTTTTGTTATAATAGATCACAATATTGAGGTGCAAATGGAAATTCTTTGTTGGTTGTTTATGAAAGTTAAAATACAGTTTAGGCAGAGATGTGGGTTAGGTAAGGGCTTGGTTTTGTCAGCAGGACTTTATGGTAATTACTTGTGCTTAGTATGCTGGAAGCTGAATTGCTTTCATTGTGGCTTCCCACGGTGGTCTGCTTTGCTTCCCCAGCTCACTGGAGCCCACCTGCAGGCAGCCCGGGGCTGGGGAACCCTCTGTGCCGTGCTCTGGAGGACAGAGAAGGTGCTGCTGAGGGTTGGGGTATAAAGCAAAAGGAGAGGTATCTACTGCAGGTGCTCTCCAGCCCACTGGTTGCATTTTCTCTGTCCTTTTGGAATAGAGCTGGGTGACTGTCGAATCCTATTATCTGATTTAAAAAAGAAAAAAAAAAAAAAGAAAGGCAGGTTCTGGTCTGTGGAATTATTTAGCACGTTTCTATTTAATTAATTGTTAGAGATAAATTCTTGCATGTGGGAGGATGGGAAAAAAAACAACAATCAAAAGAATTCTAATTCATTGTTTTCAAAACATTGTTTTGATGGAATCAGAAAGACGGTTCATCTGAAGAAGTTCAGTTTCTTTGCTTAACAGATATTGAAGTTTTTACGTAAGATACAACTTATGAAACATTTGCCTGAGATTTCCCATGTGTCAGTTGCACACAGCCCAGCTGTGTTTCCAGCCGACAATGCTGCTTACCTGTGGAGCAGTGCAAGTGTCTCCTGGCCCGTGGTTCTGCTGCTGAGCTGTGTGGGGAAATAGCCATCTTGTTACAGGGTGCTCCCACCTGCATAGCCTGCTTCCAAGGTGTTACTTGTAGGTGTTGACACCACGAGGAGAAAATATGCTTCCTATTTATATAAGTCTGTTGTTTCTTACAGGGCATGTCTCAAACGTTAGCAAACATCATATTTGATGCTTCTTCCTCTGCCCAAGAATATAACTTTATCAAAAGGAAATTTCCTACTCATTTGAGCAGTCTCCATAGCAACAGCGCTGTACACCTGTGATGTATGGGCACAGGCTGTTACAACCTATGAACTAGCTGGAGTGAGCTGTGCCCCACCCCCTGCCAAAGCCAGAGTACGTCTCCCATGTATCCATGGCACCTGGTTCTCCGTGGCACGTATCTGCAGTCCGTGCGTAAGATTGTCGTGTTTGGAATCGGTGCACTTACATTTAGTAAATACAAGCAAACATGCCGCTTACATGAAGTTATACACTTGCAAATATTCAATGTACTCCTGTCCTGAGGGAGGACTTTATAATGCAAAAATTATACAAAAATAAAAGCTCATGCTTACAGTTGCTTCTGTAAGAGTTTCCTAATTCAAGAAATTCATAAAGTGCCTCACTCTTGCAGATCTGTCAACCTGTTAATAGTATATCATTAAAAAGAGAATAAAGCAACACATGCTGAATTATTTAAATATCGTTCTAATAGTAAACTGGAAGTAATTATGCACCTTTGGCTATCAATATTGCAAAGAGCCTGTTGCCGTTCACTCTGTAACTTTTAGTGAAATTGAGCTCACTAGTAAGAAACAAATGGTTGCATTTTAAAGAAACCCCAAATTATTTCCCCAGGTCATTCATAAGGTAGGTCATTACACAGAAACATTTTCTTATGCAAAGGAAGGAGAAAAAAAAAAAAAGCAAGTAGCTTACTAATGCAATGGAAATGGTGCTTGGAGCTTCCTGAGTTTATTAGCTTATTTAAGAGGAGGCAAATCACAAAGAAGATGCTTGTTTGAAATACATGCTGTATGAAAAACCCTGCATAATCATGGGCATTACTCTTCAGCGTATATATATGGCTAAGCATAGTGCTTCCTGTGTTCTTGTGTGTGTCTGTGTGTTCTCATCTTCATCTTTGCTCTCAGATTTGCCTTCGTTTTGTTCTTGATTTGGTATTGCCCATTACTGAATGCAGGGCAAGCAAGAAGCAAAAGGAGTGAAATATGATGGAAGATGTGTGCGTATTTTCAAAACCAATAGCAGGCTGCCTGATTTTTTTTTTTTTAGTATCACTCTGTGTTGCAGTGTTTTTTGTTTTTTTTTTCTCCCCCAGTTTTATTACACTTCTCATTTTTATGCTAGTGATTGTAGGCTTTCTGCTCAAAGAGCAAAATCTCTTGTCCTTGTTTGGCAAACAGAGTGGATAATATTGTTCTCCTCTTGTTGGGGAAGGAAGTCGGGCTGGTGACTCACATCACGTAGGCTATAGCCATTGAGGCAGTTTGGTTATAGTTGGGGACTGGAAGGGAATGGAGTTTTTGCCAGCACTTTAAGGATAGGAGACAACTATCTCCCATTATTCTTGTTTTTTTATAATAACTATTTTTTTTCCTCAAGTGTAATTGTTTTCAGGTTTTCTACTAGGAAATATCTGTCTTTTATAAGCTGCTAATACTCTGCTTTAGGCAGAACACAGTGCTTGGAGCTTATGGAGCCTGATTTCAGGAAAACTAGCAGCATTATTGATTTTCATTGGGCTTATTAGGATCAGCGTAACATGCACTTTTGCTATACTAGATTGTATTTGGCTTTCATCATGAAATCTCATTACACTAAAAAGAAATGGAAACAAGTTATGCAAGTAAAAGATTTTTCAGAATACTATAATGAAATTACTTTGCATCTGTGAAAACACGCTTTGGATGCAGGTTGTTCAAACGCTGAATGCTTCTGGTTAGATTCTGCTCTCTTTAACTTTGAAAATTAAGAATAGAATCTCCAGCATTAGTGGAATTATTTCAGATTCATGCTAATGTAAATGAAGATCTAGCTTGGTCCTTGAGGTAGTCATGTTGTCTGAATCCTGAGAGTGAATCAGTGGGTTCCCAGGAAAAAGAAGCCCCACTTGTTTGCTTGCAGCTAGGGTGGAATGTATTATAGCCTTATAGAGATGTGTGAATTGCCTGTAGTGTCAAGTGCATGCTCCTTGTAAACCCCAAGCCAGGATGAGCAATGGACAATAAGCTCGTTTTCACCCTTTTGTTACAGCAGGACATTGGCTTGTTGCAATCTGTCTGATGATGGCAGAGGAGGCATGAGCTGGCAGCTCAGCATTGGCAACAAGTCACAGATTCTACTCCCATTTGCCAGGGCTGCACTGGGAGGTAGCAATGTCATCCTCCTGCATGGGGTGGCAGCAGGCCTGGGGGACATCTCCATGGGCAGACCTTGTCTCATAGTATGCTGAGCCAGTTCACAGGACTGAGGAAGAGACTTTTGTTCATTGGCTTTATTCTTTCTTTTTTAAGCACTTTAAATTGGTGAAATGGAAAACATTTTCCCCAAACCTATAGTTATTCTCTAAGAATGTCTCGAGATCCTTGGGCTGTCAGGAAAAAATATCCCCTGGCTTGTTTTGATGGTGTCTACTAGAATTTCATATGTTTCCTAGTGACTAGGATGATTTTATTTTTGGAAATGTTCTAAATTTGATTAAAGGCAAGTTCTTTTGAGAAGGTAGAGAAAATTAATTTTGAAGAAATATAAAAGGTTATATTCAAGCTTCCTTTTCAAATTCATTAGCACACTTCAGATCATTGAGAACAATCTACGTAAGGAACCAAAACCAGCAGGCAGCACTCAGTTATAAACAGTTATACAGATTAGATGTCAAGAAGCACAAATTCAAGATACAAAGCTGGAAAGCTCTTTTCATAGTTTTTCAAACATAAAAAATAGATTCCTATAGGGGAAGGTCTCCTAAATATACCCATGATTGTCTTATTTGTGAAAGGGATTTTCAACCTGCTGACCACACTGCTTTATGGAAAAGAGATCTCTTCCATTGTTGTAAATGACACTTTCCTCTAATGCTACAGAATAGTAATAAAAAGTGCCTAATCCATCTGATTGTCCAGCAGTCCAACGGTTTCCTATTGGACTTGGCAGACTAAATGAAAACAATTAGTAAGACATTTCAAGTAGAGACTCTCCTGCAAATACTCGCATTCATGGATTTTAATATTAAAATAAAAGAGAGAATTGCACATCAAAAGAGAAGTCATCTCATTTGCTGGTGCAGCTCAGGGAGACCTATTGCTAATGTGTAGCAGGTGAGATTTAGTTCTCTAAGTGCAGGTAAGGACTTCATTCAGATCTCAGCTTTAGAGGCAAATTAACTGAGTGAAGAAAGCATCATCTTTCTGACCTCTTTCCAAACAAACGCCACAAAAAGCTGCCTGAAATAAGGTAGCTTACTAAGGCGATGGTAACAGGTGCTATGGGTAGCTGCTGGGATTCTGTTTAATATTAATCTAAAATAATTTAAACACCATCTTAATAGCCTTATTTTATGTCTCTTATCTTGATTTTAAAAATTGGAGCATTCCCCTCAGTGCAGTTAATAGGGTCAGTCTGTGAGCCTGTGCTGGTTACCATGCCTTCAGTCATGTGGAATCCAAACAGCCATTATAATTTGTTTCTAAACAGATCAAGAGCTATTTACCATCTCAATGTTTTGTGCACAGCTGGGTGTCTGGCAAACATCCAATATCCATTAACATTTAAAAATTAGTCCCATAATGCATCTTTTCTGTGGCTTGAGGAGTATACACACTGACACATGTTGGGAACCAATTATATTTGCACCACCATTAGTCTGGCTGCATTCAACTTCCCAGTAAATGAGGGCTAATTTAGTTTCCAGAATGGTGTATCTTAAATTCATGCAATGACCTTAGAGAAAGCAGAGTATCTGAAGATATAAAGAGGAAGGAAATGTTCAGAAAGAATAATGCTTCCTTTTTTCTACCAAAAACATAAGAGTGTGTTATTATATATTCCCAGCATCCATGCCTGTCCCTGAAAACCAGATTTCTCTAATTCAATACTTCTAAAATTTGTAAGCAGGATTTATGTAAGAAGGAATCAGACCGATACAGTAAACTCCAAGACCTCCTTGCCCAGATCAAACCTGCTAATGGATCTTTTTACAAAAGCAATTGAAGGCCTGCCTGTAGCAGGTCTGACTCTTTGTGTTGCCAACTAGTTTTAAGTGTTCTATTTCCCACCAGCAAGAGAAAATAAGTAATGCAGGCTTCACAGTAAGTGCTACCTACGCTGCTTGTAAAATATATTATAACAATGCCATAAAAATGAAGTGACCTCCACAAGTAGGAGTTTGGCAAAGAGATTTAATGAAAACAGAGGAATTCAAAAATATTTCCTGAGAATTATAGTTTGCCAAACCTCCACTGCCATGATAAATTCCTTCAGTAATACCAGGGGTGAAATGGGGTGTCTAGTTTGGCTGGTGTGTAAGTGAGAAGAGGGATTTTCAACACCTTTCCTTGCAGTGTGTCTCTGGGCAATCAGGTTCTAGACTGATGGGCTGCTGCTGACTGCTGCAAAGTGCTGCACCAAGCTGAGCTCAGCTCGCTTCATCTGTGTCACGCTGCTTAATAAAACTAAATTGCTCCTGCAAACAGAACACTGCTCTGCAGCCTTTTGGAGTTCAGACATGGATCAAAAATGTAATTGTTTCTCAGAATTCCTCAGAAGTTAAAAACTCAGGAAAACAGGACTTAACTAACTGGGCATAAAGCAATCCAGCGAAGCAAGGTCTGAGTGATGAGTGTGTGCTTCCTGCTGCAGCGGTGAGCACTGAGGTACCTGTCCTGGTACCACTGTCGAAGCAGAGCAGCTGAAGGAGCCTGGCTAGTGTCAGACTGCAGGTTGATAAGTGAGTTTATGGTGGCTTAATGTGTAAAAATATTTACATACCTTTACCATTCAGTATTTATATGTGTAAACAACTTCTCACATTAAGTCCGTACAGTTCAGAGCTGGCCTTTGTCAGGTACTGCATCAGCACTCTTTTTCCTGTTTTTGGTTTGTGCAAGAAGTAGCTTTTTGATGAAATGTCTCCTTGCAGATGCTCTCTTGAAACCATTCATTGTGCAGTTAGTATTTACAGATGCTATTCATACTGCATTTGTCTCTAAATACATAGCTTTGTGCTTTATTGGTTTCAGTGGAACCCGTACTTGTAGTCCACAACAATAATATATTTTCATGCATCATTGGCAATACAAGGCTTCATTTAGACTATTGATTAACATTCTGATTGCATTAGGACTTGTTAGCTGTTCATACCTTTTTATT